AATATTCAATTCCTAGTGGACTCCAAGGACAGAGGAACAGAATTCTTATGTAAACTGTAGATAACATCTTGGGCTTCACCTCAGAAAAGCCCCCTTCCCCAGCCTCCTCGGGCTCAAAGTCTGCTGAAAAAACCTACCTGATTCAGCCACTTCCGCAATGGGTACACCCTGCTTTCGAGCCATGAAACCCAGCACAGAGAAAATGGCAAAGCCAGCAACAAAGCTGGTGGCACTGTTCAGGAAGCAGAGCATAATGCAGTCCCTGCAGGAGGAGATGAGAGAGCACACTGTTTCCCTTTGCGCAGCAGGCCCACTTAGGGTCACTTCCATACTCTGCTTCCCCAAGCACTGAGGAGTGTCAATACTGCTCCTCAGCTCCCTCCAAAGTAACCATCAACTGCTATGGAGAAGTGCAGGTATGCAGTGTATTTGGGCTGGAGAGCTATCTAGAGCCATGCCAACAGTGCAAGGCACATAAGACACTAGAGGAAAGTGTCAATACACTGCTCCATGAGTGACAGACACATTGTGGAGTGCTGTGGGAAAAGTATTAATTGCCTGGCCAGCAGCCACAGCAGCACCTCTTTGAGAAGGGCAGAAGAGATGACTGATGTCTCCAGAGCACTGTAAAATTTTCCCATTTGCGGTGGAGCAATACTGGAAGTAATAACAGAGCCCCATCTCCACAGGACTTTGAGGAATGTGCCAGAAACGGTCTTGATGTCTTTACTGAGCTTCATGTCAGGCCATGGAGAAAATAGAGCTGTAATTCAAGGGCAAGGAAGAGGCCAGATAGACTTGATTAATCTCCTTGACAGGATCAAAATGCCACTGGCAATACATTACCCTGCTGTTAGTGAAGAACTAGAGACAGCGGGCCCAGCCATCATCATCTTTGTACCATTTCCCCTACCTAGCAAGTGACAGCAGAGATAGCTGTGTAGCCCCTTCTCACTCACCCCATCAAAACAGCCTGTGGTATCCCCATACTGGCTGGGCATACTCAATATCCACTCCTTTTCTTCCAGTACCTCCAGTTCCAAGCTGACTCATACAGGAGAGGGCTGGTAAAACACTTCTCTTGGAGCTCCTGCATTGCCCTAGCCAATCTCAATCCCTATGCTGAGTCCATCCCAAACTATGAACATGTCCTTATTCAAAATAGCGTTGCCCAAAGGTCTATCTTCATCAGGCACAGCCCTGTGCAATTTGTCTCTGAGCAAATTTCCAGGAAGATCAAGGCACCTAGGCTTCTCTTACCTGTAGCAGTTGTTGGTGTATTTATTGTAGCTGCCCAGAGCTGTCAGGCATCCCTGGCATATGGCGTATGAGAAGAGAATCTGTGTGCCTGCATCCATCCAGACCTGGAACAGAGAATGTCAGTGGTCTCCAGACCTGGTGACAAAATAAATAAGTGGTTGTGCCCTGCCTGGCAAACACCCCTCCATCAGAGCTGAACAAACTGTGTGGGATAGGGGGACACAATGGATGCAGAAACTGGAATACATCTCTGGGAAACTGAACTATCAGATGGAAAGACCACTAGGAAAATGTTCTTATTGGGTCTGTGTTTGCACATCAGAGTGACACAAGGGCATTGGCCAGTGCTGAGTGGGCTCCTTCCCCTTTGCTCCATTCCTCTTCCCCAAGAAGGTTTTTGGGCCTTGGTCTCCCAAACTGCTGCAGGACGAAATCCAGCACTGCTCCCACTCCCTGTCATAGATTCAGGGTAACAGGCAGGAGGGAACACAGCCCTCTTTCTGTCTGTCTGTACACTCCCCCTCATTCTCTTTTTTCTCTAAGCAGTAGCAAACAGCCAGGCAGCTACAATTTGACAGCCTGCAGACAACCCCAGCCTGGGCAGTGCTGTTGACATCCAGGAGTGAGGAGTGTGGCATGGGTACACACACAGATCCAGCTTTGCACCCAAGCTTTGCACTCTCTAAAATCAATAGCAGAATTCCTCACTCCTGCTATGCTGCCTTGCTGCAGCCTGGAAAGACCACGTTGGCTTTGTTTAGGCTTTTAAAGGTCAGGAGGCTTTCGGTGAATAAGCTCTTGCCATGAATAAAACGCACTCAGCCTCCATCGCCCCCCTGTTATTTATTTCAATATTAAAATGCCATTTAGGTTCTGCTGGCTCTTGTGTTTAGCGCTCCACAGATTTTGTATTGACAACACGTAATTGCATCTGAAAGCCATTTGGGGGAAGATAGTGTGTTTGGCAGCTGGTTTGGGAGCAGTTGGGGCTGCAGCCATCTGGGAAGATGCGGGAGGTAAGCTGAGGCTGTGGGCTAAGCATATTGCTTGGCTGCCTCCACAGAAAGATTTAGCAGCAGAATAATTAGCAGCAGTGTCATTTAAATACCCTCCTTGGGGCTGGAAAGCTGCATTAACACCCTGGAGAAATGGTGCATGCAGCCTGCGTGCACTGCTGAAACCTCCTGGAAAGGAAAGCGACCTGCTGTGATGGAGAGGTATTGGGGTCTTTGGGTTGGGGTCCCAAGTTCTGCCCACCTGGATGGGGGAAGAGACCTGACTGCATGCTGGGACATGCACTGATGGCATGTGGTTGGTCCCAGGCAAACAAAGCTCTAAGCAGGCCTGAAGAAATGGAAAGTCGTAGATTGCTTCCCCCCCACCTTTCCTCAATTATTTGTATTTAAGACCCAGCAAAACCATCTGCTGCATGCTGAATATTTCATGCACTCCTCTGATTTTGCTGAGCCCATGAGTAGCAGTGACCTAATATGCCCATATGCTGCAGATGTGAGCAGAGAATCTGCACAACGTGGGGGCCAGGCCCTGCTCAACCTGTAATGAGCTTCTCCCAGTCTGAAGGCCTCCCCTGAGAACAGAAAGTCAGAACCTCATCTGCCCCCACTCACCTGCGGGTCTGCTAGCCTGGAGACATCTGGCTTCAGGTAGAAGACAATCCCCTCAGCGGCACCCGGCAGTGTGACTCCTCGCACCAGCAGGATGACCAGCATCACGTATGGGAAGGTGGCAGTGAAGTACACGACCTGCAGGGAAACCAGACAGGGTCAGCAGGGAGTGTGGGTGTTATTTTGTCCCACCTGCAGCCCCCACGCAGCAGATGTCCCTGGACCTTCTCTCTGGCCACAGCAGCTACTGCTGACGTGGATGTTGTGGGGGGGGAATGTGTGGGATGGGGAAGGGATTAATCAAGGCTACATCTCAGCAGTGGTTTTGTTAATCTAGGCTCTGCTCCTCACACAAGGTTTTGTCACTGGTTGCTCTTGCTATTTTCTCTTTCCAGTCATCTTCATTTCCCTGCTCTCAAGCTGTTCTCTTCATCTTTCCAGAGCTGCAAAAGAAACCTACGTCTCTTCCTGTCACTGAGTTTTAATGAGGAGTTATTAAAATTGTCCCATTCCCAGCAAGGGGTTTCCAAATTAAACAGCAACTTTTGCTGCCTAATTTGACACTGCATTTCCAGGGGTGCTCGTGTGACTCCCTCATCCCTCCAATGCCTCTGCGCACATGGGTAAAAAATGGGGACACCTGGAGCCTAGAAGTCTGTCAAGAAAACATATGCCGTTGTTTCCGTAAAGCTTTCTTTTCACATCTCCCTGCGTGCTATGTAAACAAATATTACAGTAGAATTAATCATCCCTGATCTACTGCCCAATATAAACTTCTAGTTACTGTTGTTTGCAAAATATCCATGAGCAATCTGCAACTTCTTAACATTTATTCACTACTACAATTCATCCAAGTAAAATTAAAGCTTGTTTACTGTATGGATTCAAAGTGAGGGGTCAAAAATGAAGATGTTGCTGCCTAGTGATAATTGGTCAAATCAGTCGCGGTACTCAGCACTTCTGCTGCTCCCTGACTGAAAGAGAACAGGAGCATTTTTGGCACAAGAATGAAAATATACCTTTAGAAATCACTTCTGGGGAACATCTGCACAGATCAGCTGATTGCATCAGGAAAGGAAAGACTGAAAGTGTGCAAGAGTGGGCAAAATGAATAAAACAAAAAGGCTTTCAATGAAAATGGTTCTTCATGGGATTATTTGAAATTATTTTCCTGAGGTTACTATTGTTTCTTTAAGGTTAGACTCCTTAAATGACAGAAGTGTAAGCACAAGAGTCTGGAAGGGCTATCTGATTGGTGCAGCCCTTCAGTCAAGCATAGCATTTGTTTACTCTGCAGTGGGTAAACAAAATTATGCACATACCCAGAGTTTCTGGGACCTTCCTACTGCTTCTCCTAACGTGTATTCAGGGTTGAAAAAGAAAGGAACTGAGTTTTGTGATGGTGTTCCTGTAAATCTCAATATAACTACCTGCAGAGCGGACTACTGGTCTGTCTGGCTTGTGGACTGGGACAAGAAAACTCACCGTGTTGCTCACCTGGACCATACACTTGACTAGGAAAAAGTAGGTCCTATATCCTAAGCCTTGCAATGGGAAAATGTTCTGTGGTTCCAGGAAAACCATGACAGCTACTGCCTGCACTTGCTGAACTCTCACTTTCTGGGTTGACGTTGCCAAACCCAACTTGATCCCAGATTAAGTGAACTTCTTTCAGCCTTCTCTCACAAGGCAAATTCCCTGCATCTGAGCAGCACTAGGCAAAGAAAAGGCTTGGTGGGAAGAGGGCTGAGAATTGATGGGAACCTGCAACAACTCGATTGCACTTCCATGCAGACACAGAGTCTTAAGATCAGAATGATAATTCTCGTGAAGGTGGCACTGTGTTAACAAAACAGCTTACATGGAGCATTAGAGATTGACAATTTAAAAGCCCCTCTCCCATAGATGTGGAATCATGCTCTCCCTCCTTGAGAAGTGGTGAAAGACAGGTCAGCACCAGCAAGAGGCTCTGGAGAGCAGAGCAAGCTCTTGTCCTGTTAAAACAGCGGCCCATTAAAATGTAGTTTTAAGGTCAGAAGTGGGATTTGACACTGAAACAAAGATCTGCAATTCTACAGGAACATTTGCCAATATTAGGGATACTTATTTGGAAGAAGGCTGTTGCAAAAAATTGGCTCCTTTCTTTGTTGCTGGGACATCCACTGAATGCCCTTATGTTGATAACCTACCCATCTCATCACAGACCCAGGGAGGAAGGATGCTCTGACCAAGTCAAGGCTATAAGCAGAGTCCTGACACCCACCCTGAAGCACACCACATTCATCCATCCCAGAAGGATATCCAGTCTACCTGACCTATGGGAACTGGAGCAATGGCTTCAGCCTCAAGAGCAGAATGCACAAAGTGACCTGCTGAGCCAAAGAGCCAGAGAGAGTACAAAAGGGAGCCCAAAGGAAAGCACAAAGACATCTCTCCCACTCCAACTATTTTGCAGGATAAAAAAGCAGGAGAAATTAGTGATCTGTTTGCTGAGACAGTTGCAGGCAGAAGCTTCTCTATTTTCCTTAACTGTTTAATTATTGCCAGGGATAGAAAGCTTGATACTGAAGAGGATCTAGCTAAAAACATAAAGAAGTCACACTGAGACAACACAGTGATGAGTGGGTGGTTCCCAACGACATTTGTGGAGTATTCCATTGTGGGTCGTCTGCAAGGACAAAGGTGACCTATGATTTCCATCAGTTCCCAGCTCTTCCACTGCTTTTCCCTCCCCGTTTTTCATCCTTCCTTTTACGGGTCAAATACAACCAATGTAAATCAATATGAACCCACCAGATTTTAGGTTTGACTTTGGTGCTGTGTGTCTCCAGTCTCTACTTCATGAAAAAGTAAGAGATTGGGAAAGAAATGTAAGATGGGTACAAGGAGGATTATGGATGAGGAGGACCATCTCTGTTCCTACTTTTCCTGTGGACTTGACACCTTTCCAGATGCAGAAGTAGCAGATGATCCACGCCAGCAGGAGACACAGAGCCAGCTCCCAGCGCACAGTGCCCAGTTTGTGAATACCATCCGTTAGTCCCAGGACTCTCTTCCTGTCGGTATCCAGGGACAGGGAGATAAGCATTAACACCTCAGATCCCATTAATTCAAATACACCTTTGACATTTTACCCCATGAAAAGACTAAACAGATCTGTCTGGGCTCCCAGATGAGTGAATTACCACAGCATTGCCAAGGGCTTACTTCTCTGTTATTCCTGTGGATGCTGCTCCACTGTGCGCCGCAGCTAGCTCAAGCCCTCCAACCCTCCCAGCCCACTGCAGTGTGCTCACCAGAGCCACACAGAATGAAATCATCACGTACACCTCACTGATCCATCACCCTGACAGCTGCTAGGTAGACTCTTCTCCATCCAAAGCAAGCTACTAATGTCATCGTCAACCCATGGCCACTTCTTTCCTCTCACCTCCCCATACACTGTGGACACCCTGCACATAAGTTAAAATGATCTCTGTGTTTCCCATCTCCTTTCTTCAGCCTCGTTCTCCGGACACTCACCATCACCAAGATGGACAAGAGAGCTCAGCCCTGCAGTTCATGCAATCCTAGCAGCCCAGACCCACACTTCGGATTCCTATGCACTCCTTCCTCCAAATCAAACCCCTTGTGGCTTCCTTTGCATTGCAGCTTGTGCAAAAACCCCAAACAACTCTTTCTGAGAGGTAGCAACCCACAGATGTAGAGAACAGGGCAGGAAAGAGAGTCTGGCAACATGCAGACTTTTTCTGCATCCATACCTCATATTCTCTTTGCACTTTGGTTGTTGCAAGGGACAACCTCACTCTCCTCTCAGGGGCACTTGAATAGCTATAGAAACAGCATGGTTCTTGCAGCCATTTCAAACTCTTTGCGCTGCAGTGAGAAGCCTCTCTAAGATGCTGGCCTGATGAAAAACCCCTCTTTCATAGGTGATTCATTGCCTCCAGACCCATGGCCAAACCTTCCTGAGTGCCTGTCTGCTGCCTCACCTATCTGCCTCAGATGTCTGCTCATGTACAAAGACAGGGCAGCCAGACAGACCTCTTCCTTTGGAAAGATGTGTTCAGAAGAAGTGAAATGGCAGTTTTACCCTTTCTATTTCACTGTAGAGGACTGATCAGTCTGCCCCCTGGCCTCTTCTTACAGAGAACACCCAGCTTACAGAAAGTCCTAATTTCTTTTGGTACTTCTTTTTTGCCCTGACATCTCAGTGCCAGAACATGTGCATGTGTGCACACGAGCTCTCTAGGCTGGCATGCTACTGCAAGCAGCCTTCAGGGTGCATTTAGTTCTCCTGGAATCCACGATGATCTCCTTGGCAGCTCTGTGCACTGTGCTCCCCAAGTCTGACATGTCCCTGTTTCTGACACGTGGCACCTTACTTGGTCTTATGGAATCCCTCCCACTCCAGCATATCTCCTGGATGAGAGAGGAGCCTGAACGGAAGAAAGGTGATCACGTACTCCCAAAACTCAACCACTGGAGAGGTGGTGTTTGCAGGCACAGTTCTGTTGTCCCAGTTGGAGGTATTCAGAAAGTCCACACAGAGATCTAGCAAAAGAAAAGGAAGTCAATGAGCCAGAGAAATTTTCCAAGACTCCTCCATGAGGGATGCTCCTTCCCCACTGTTCCCTAGCCTTCATGCTGACTGTACACAGACTCTTCACCCTGTGCTATAAAACATCTCATTAAACTTTTGTATCTCATTAAGCACCTCACTGAAGCCTGGCTCTCCCCAGTTATGAATTCCAGTCCAAGAGTAGGCAGAGAGCTTGGGTAATGAGAGGGGGGAGGGGGGAGCTTCTCTGCCAAATGGAAACCACATGACTGCAAAATGTAGATTACTGTGAAGAAGCCACCATAGGTAGCCAAAAATAAAAAAGAAAAATTTAAAAGATGGAAAATCCCATTCTCCTCACACACCACACATCATCTGCTATCCACACATATATGCATATATTCTCAAACACCACAACTGCTTTCATGTTCCACTATACCATCCCCAACTCTGTCACACAGTGTAAAACTGCTAAAAATGGAGGAGATGCCATGCATCCAAGAAATGCACTTCATCACACATTTGGCAAGCAAAAGATAGTCCACAGGAAAACAGAGGAATGCCAACTCTGACTGGGAAGCTTCAGCACAAGAAGAGAACATCTGTGGTTTTCCCAACAAAACAAACAAACAAACACCCCCCCTCCAAAAAAAAAAAAAAAAAAAAGCATGTTGGGGGAGCTAAAGGAATCAGATCCACTCTTTACAAAGATGCTTACCTCTGCTGGGATGTAGGGGCAGAGGAAGCTGTGAGTAAATAGCCCATAGGGCAGGGAAATTTAACACATCAAAGGAATGATTCACCACAAAATAAATAAATAAATAAAGGGCTTTAGCTGCTGCTGAAGCCCTTTCCAGCCTGACTTTGAACTGAAAGCAAAACAACCTGTTCAATATGGTAAAAACAAAAAAAAAAAAAAAAAAAAAAAAAAAAAAGCAAGCCAAGCCTCATCAGATTCATGAAAGTTACCTCATATCTAATTCCACTTCCAAGGAACAGCCCAAGTGCCTTAAATAAAATGAAAGCCTAGTCTTTACTGCTGGGCATGGTGTTGTGATCTGCAGGCACGAGGAATTGAGATCCCTGGCCAAGACAATGAAATTAGACCAGAAGAAGAAAGCTTCAAGAGTTTTGTGTTCCTGGTTCCTGCACTGGGAGACTCATACTGGCAAATCCTCCTATGCAGGTTTGGGCTGATTTAGCCAAAAGTTGAGTGTGCAAAAGAAAACAGCTGAGCAGCTACCACTCCAGAAGCTCAGAAGGAGCCAAGTAGCAAAAGGGAATTGTAAAATAAATCATTGTGCCAGAGCTAATGAAAAGCTCTTTCCTTGTGAGGGACACTCCAAATTGGCTTGAAATCTCTTCTCAACCCATATATCCCATTTTCCAGAAAATGTGGATTGTTCAGTGAAATCTCAACAATGTAAGTATCTCCATGCAGAAACAGTCTTACTGTCCCCTACTACTAAGTATAAAGCCAGACCACTCACTCACTCTTCCTGGCCTTTTGTCCATGGTGAATGAAGACCGCTACCTTCACAGGAATCCCACAGACCACAGAGCACCTCATGGGAGCAACCCCTCTGGACAGTACTCTGTGAAACCCACAGTACAACTACAAAATAATGTCAGAAGCCAAGACATTCATCTACAGTAAAAATATTTTTAGACAAGTGAAAAAGCATTTTCTACAAAACCCAAATAATTTCTGGGAATTGGGAAGGGGGAAAAGAAATCTATGAATCTGTGACTGCATGAATCTATTTGAAAACTGAGACTCCATCTCCTACCTTTCCTCCAACCAGAAGCCAACCAGAGGAAGGTATACCTGAGTTCCAAGGGTTATTGCAGCTGGCCCATGGTAGTACAGTGGTGAATGAGCTGAACAGGTAGAAGAGTGCCCAAGACAGTATAATGATATAGTAGATGTTTAGATAGGTCTCAATGACTTGCGAGGAATATCCAATTCCTGTGAAGAAAAACAAAGCCTCTGAGAAGGCCGTCAGATGTCAAATGTCTAAATTCCCCCACCCCCTCCCCAAAAACAAAAAATGGCATAGTGCATGCTATAGTAAGCAGAGTGTAACGCCAAGCATAGGTCACTAGAGAATAGAGTAAGAGCTACCTCTAGGAAAGAGAAGGGATTTTATGAAGACAAGAAATGTTGCTGGTATCTCTAGACAGCTATATGGTGGAACAGAGGGAGAAAACTTTTCACTGATGAGAAAATATTTTTCTGATACTAGCGCTGTTATATTACACTGCCTCACCTTCAGGAAAACAAGACGTATAGCCTTGAAAGAAAAGAAATACAGGTGAGTTTATTTCTTCTGGAAAGACTTGGGCAAGAAGAATTCTCACTGGTGATGTACACCAATCATAAAATATGGTGATGGGGGCAACAGACCATATATAGGAGACGAGCTCTACCTTCGGGTCTTTAGGCTCATCACTCACTGAGACACCAGAAAAGTCATTGGGTCAGAAAGCCTAAATTCATCTGCTGAAAACTGGCTGTCAGCACCCTTAGAGATACCATTGCTGTCTGCCTCCAGGCCATGTGCTGGTATTTAATTTGCCTGAATACAGGCTTCTCTTTCCTTTGGCACTGGTAAGGTTGCACTATAAGTACTGTGCTCAGTTTTGGGCCCCTCACTACAAGAAAGACATTGAGGCCCTGGAATGTGTCCAGAGAAAGGCAACAAAGATGTGAAGGGTTTGGAGCACAGGTCTTGTGGGGAGTGGCTGAGGGAACTGAGATTGTTCAGTCTGGAGAAGAGGAGGCTCAGAGAAGACCTTATCATACACTGAAAGGAGGTTGCAGAGGTGTGAGGGTCAACTTCTTTTCCCAAGTAACAGTGATAGAATCAGAAGGAATGGCCTCAAGTTGCACCAGCAGAGTTGGCTGTTAGGAAACATTCCTTCTCAGAAAGAGCAATGACACATTGGCACAGGCTGCTCAGGGTGGGGGTGGAGTCACTGCCGCGGAGGCATTCAAGAACCATGTGGATGTGGCACTGTGGGACACATTTAGTGGTATGGTGCTGGTGGGCTGGCATTTGGACTTAACAATCTTAGTAGTCTTTTTCAACCATTATGATTCTATGAGTCTCTGCCCATAAAATGAGTGTAATAGACTCTCCTCTGGGCAGAAGAATTGTGGAAGTTAAATTCATTAACATCTTAAAGCCATTTAGCAATCTTCTTCCATGAGCTCAGGAGTCCTGGTTCTTATACCTGTACCTTAGTCCCAGCCCAGCTCCAGGCTGTCAGTGTGGTGGCTGCAGCACAAGAACCCCAGTATGCAGGACATCAGTCTCATTCTCTCATGAGCATTTGTCCCAGCTTCCATGGAGGTTTTTGTCTGTCAACACATACCCTTTTTCCCAGCACCACTCACTTTTAGTCACCTACAGGAATCACCCGCACACACAGCAGGCGTCAGGAGAGAAAACAGGGCTGTGAGAGAAAGGAAGGGAGGGGGAATAGGAAAAAAAAGAAGAAAGGAAAGGGAAAGGGAAAGGGAAAGGGAAAGGGAAAGGGAAAGGGAAA